GCTTTCGGCGCCAAAACGGGGGCTTTCGGCGCCAAAACGGGGGCTTTCGGCCCCAAAACGGGGAGTTTCGGCACCAAAACGGGGATTTGGGGGCCTGTAGAGCAGGAGGGGGTCCCCAAAGAGGCTCTGCTGGCATCAAGAGTGGGGAGTTTGCCCCCAAAGTGCCCGGTTTTGGCCCAAAAGATGCAGCTTTGCCCCCCGAAGTGGCTCTGCTGGACCCAAAAGCTGCAGTTTTCCCCCAAAGCGGCTCTACTGGACCCAAAAGCCGCAGTTTGGCCCCCAAAGCGGCTCTGCTGGACCCAAAAGCTGCAGTTTTGCCCCCAAAGTAGCTCTCCTTGGCCCCAAAGCTGCAGTTTTGCCCCCAGAGTGGCTCTGCTGGACGCAAAAGCTGCTGTTTTGTCCCCAAAGTAGCTCTCCGTGGCCCCAAAGTGGTGATTTTGCCCCCGAAATGGCTCTGCTGGACCCAAAAGCTGCAATTTTGCCCCCAAAGTAGCTCTCCTTGGCCCCAAAGTGGTGATTTTGCCCCCAAAGCGCCTCTGCCGGACCCAAAATCCACATTTTTCCCCCCAAAAGTGGCCTCGCTCAATCCCAAAAAATGAGTTTTCCCCAGATGTGGCTGCATTTTTCCCCCTGAAGCGGCTCTGTTTGACCCAAAAGCTGCAGTTTTCCCCCCAAAGCAGCTCTGCTTGTCCCAAAATCCACATTTTTTTCCCCCAAAGTGGCTTCGCTTGATCCCAAAAAAGGAATTTTCCCCACACGTGGCTGCGGTTTTGCCCCCAAAGTGGCCACTTTGGCCCCCGAAACCTCCTCCGTGGCCCTCGCGGGGTCCCCTTCTGGTGTCCACCCGGTGTCCCCAATGTCCCCCTGATGTCCCCAATGTCCCCCTGGTGTCCTCAGTGTCCCCAATGTCCCCGTTGTCCCCGCAGTTCCGCAACTTCAAGATCATCTATCGCCGCTACGCCGGCCTCTACTTCTGCATCTGCGTGGACGTCACCGACAACAACCTGGCCTACCTGGAGGCCATCCACAACTTCGTGGAGGTGAGATCCCTACGGATCCCGCCGGGAATTCCGTCCCGGAACTGGGAATTCCGTCCCGGAGCCGGGGATTCCGTCCCGGAGCCGGGAATTCCGCCGCAGAGCTGGGGATCCCTGTGTTGGATGGCGGTGGAGGCCGGAGTGGAGGCTCCTTGGTGGCACTGGGTGCCGTTGGGGGGATCTGTTGGGATCTCATGGAGAGACGGAATTCTGTGGATCCCACTCGGGATCCCACTCGGTCCAATGGGAGAGGCCGGATCCTTTGGGATCCCACCCAGGTGCTCGGATCCCATGGGAGGGCTTGGATCCCACCAGATCCCGTGTGGTTGCTCCGAACCCCCGGGAGAGGTCGGATCCTGCGGGATCCCGCCTGGGTGTTTGGATCCTAGTGGATCCCATGGGAGAGCCTGGATCCTGTGGGATCCCATGAGGG